TTTTTTTTTCATAAATAGCAGATTTGCTTTCATGTGGTTTCCCTTTATGCTGTCTTTCCCTACTTGGATGTTTGTCTCACTGCAAACAAACCCAAAGTACCTTTACCTACCTCACCTTTTGTGTGTTCTCCTTTGTTTTAAAGAGAAATCTTGTCCCCTTGTGGCCAAAGTGTGTAACTATCACCCGACAGCTTTACAAACGAAAATTACTGAAGTAATCTACATAGTGGCTTTTATCTCTATCTGCTTTGGCTTTCTGTTTTTTGTTTTTCGTTTGTTTGTTTTTTTACCTCACATTACTGTGCTGCAGCCTGGGGATATCAGAAGAAACAAGGTCTGTTTTCATGCATCCCACCATATTTTTTTTAAATGTGTGCTACCTCATATTTAGGATTTTTTAAACTTTGGCATATATAAATGGTTTATTCATTTGCTAATTGACTAAATGGGAACTTTGTCTTTGTAGCAGCTTCCATTAACAGTTCAGGAGCTTCAGGAGGAGCTGAGGGCTCACAGGGAGATGAACAGCCGCTTGCAGCAACAGCGGCAGCAGGGGAACTCTGGCTCCTATAGAGAACTCCATATGGACCAGGACCACAGAGGGGGCCTCGGTCCTGGCCACAGTCCCAGACAAAGCCCCAGCAACCTGCACGGTCCTGGACCAAAGAACAGCCCCAGAGCCAGCCCATCCAACACCTATAATCCAAGGCAACAGGAAGCTGACATCATCATTCACAGCCCTGGATATGGCTGTAACACTGCAGTAACCACGCAGAGAATCAGTCCGGCCAACACCCTTCAGCCCGGGCCGAGGACCAGTCCAAATCAGCCCCTCTACAGTCCCAACCAGGGTCCAGCAGCGGTGCCCAGCTCTATCTCCGTGCGGCCCTGTAGCCCCTGTCAGGTGCCTGGGTGTGACGGCTTTTCGTCACCTCCTCCTCCTCTAGATCCGTCGGAGGAGAACTTCTTCCGACTGCAGTCGGAGCACGAGCGGCAGGCCAAGGAGCTGTTCCTGCTCAGAAAGACCATGGAGGAGATGGAGATGAGGATCGACTCCCAGAAGCAGACGCTGGGAGCCCGAGACGAGAGCATCCAGAGGCTGTTGGAGATGCTTCAGGGACAAGGACAGGGACAGGGTCAAGGTCAGGGCCACTGGGGACGGGGACAGCGGACGGGCATCATAACCATGGCAGCGCAGGAGGCTGAAGCTCAGCTGGAGAACATGCATGTGAGAGAGGTGTGTTTTTCTTATTATTTCTGAGTGCATTTGAACCTGTCATCTATAATATCAAAGTGATTTTAGCAGTAGCGTTTTGTTATTCATGATATCTAACATAATGAGTGACGATTTTATAAATTGTGGCGCACAATTGTGTCTGTTTTACCTTCGTAACTGCTGAACAAACTACTATTTTGGCAGAAGTCAAATCACACTGATGATGAGTTTAAAAAATATTTAGTGTTAGATAAAAATGATTTGATAACTTTTACTTGCCACCACACGATACAGTTTAATCTAGAAAGCATGATATTTTAAGTACAAAATATTTTCTAATGTACATATTTTAATAGTTAATTTAATCTTAATACATTTTTTTCCCTATTGTTACTTTATTGCATATATTATCTGTTTATATGCATATTCGTATCGCTTTCATTGATGAAATTATTGACATTTGGCTGTGCACGTATGAGTGAACTGTGTGTGTGTGTGTGTGTGTGTGTGTGTGTGCGTGTGTGTGTTTGTGCACCTGAGTTTGTCTGTATTATGCAGGGTGTTGGAGCAGAAAGCAGCTCAGCAGGTCTTATCAATGGGCCAGATTAACATACGGAGAGCTCTAAGCCTGTGTTCAGCCATGCAGTTTTACAATCTGACTGTGTTTGTGTGTATGTGCGTGTTGCTGAGTACGCACATGCTCATATGGCAGTTGCTCACATGGCACCGTGCTTTGCATTTGGCATTGAATGTTTATTCTGCGGCATATGGCATGTGGTGAGCTTGTTGTTCAGCGAAATTTAATCATTATTTAATAAGGTGGAAATTTATTGCTCATATATATGTATTTAAAAAATGTTATTTGCTCTGCTCATACTTTACTCTTGCCTGTATTTATTTAGTTTTTCTTTCTCAGATACTCAGATTTGATAACTGAGAATTTAAAAGCACCAGCCCTGCAGTGAGTGGTGCTGAAGCACAGGTGTATCTATATCCTCTGCCAGGAGTGCTAGCTGCAGGCTGCTCTGTGCTCCTCACTCCTGCCTTATCTATTTTTAACTCCTAAATCTTCTTAGCCTTTAATTTCTCTACCTCTGTGTGTGTGTGTGTGTGTGTGTCTGTGTGTGTGTGAGTTCCATGTCTGTGCATGCCCCCAATATTGTTTGTGTCATAATGTTCTTGTTTTTCTGTCTTTGTGTTGTTTGCCTGCCTCTCTGAGTCCACTGTGCCCAGTCACAATATTAGTGTGTGTGTTTTTGTGTGTGTGTGTGTGTGTGTGTGTGAGCATGCGTACACATCTGGAGCCTATCGGCTTAGTGTTTCAAGCGAGAACACTCCCACTCTGGGCTGCCGGTGGCTGACGGGATATCCACCCATGCTGGGTGTTTTGGGCACTGTGGTTGTGTCACAGGGGAGCGCGGGTGTTCTGGCCCGTGCTAACATGCTAATGGGTGCATATGTGTGTAGGTGTCTGTGTGTAATGTGTGGGACCTAACCATGCGTGTGTGTCCGAGGTGAGTACCTGTTCACACACACACACTGTGTGTCGTACTATTTTTAACTGCTGGACAGCTTAACACATACTGTGCTGTGGAGGTGGAGGGGTTGAGAGGTGTGTGAGAGGGAGGGAAGGAGGGAGAGATGGGAGGAAAGTTCTGTTTTTCTAAAGAAGAAAAACAGGCTGTGTTTGTCTGAATATTAATGTATGATTAATGAGCGAAAACACTCTGACCTCCCTGATTGAAAAGAGAGTCGATTGTTGTTCTTTCATTCCCCCCTCACCACTAGTTTCCTTCTGGTCTCCTCTGAGGTTGAGATGAGGTGACGAATGTCTGGTTATGGATGTGTGTGTGTGTGTGTGTGAGACTCGAGGCACACACACACACACACACACACACACATGCACACACATACACACAGGTAACATACAGTGATTTAGCTGGTATTTGTGTCATACTTTAACAATAATACCAAAACTACAGCCATAAAATTGTTGTATTGTAACGAGGATTTGGAAAAGATTTTCAGAATAGTCAATAATGTAAAGCTAATGCATAAAATGCGTTGCGGACAAAATTACTTAGTAATCAAAAAACAAATGCAGAATAAACATGGTTTCTGGTAACAGGGATAATAATACATGTGTGGCCTAGAAAACTGTTAAAATTCAAGTAGATTCAATTTCTTTTATAAATAAAGACATATATGTTTAAATTGTTCTCATTTTTTTCATATCAGCAAATATCTTTAAATGGTTCACTTGCTATCATCTGTGCCAAAAAACAAAAAAAAACGTGCTCATATGCAGTTCTGGTTCTGATCCACACAACACCATTCCACCATATTCTGTGCACGTTTGAGCTCGTGCACATTTAAGCTCATGCACAGGATTGACAGGATGGGAGGGGGGAGGGGAAATGGGGTTAAGGGGTCAGTGGAAGGGAGAGGGATGCTAAATCTGGCACATGCTAACTATCGAAATATGCTGCCGAGCTAAACATCAACATTCATTCTCCGGACTTGATCTCAGATCTCTTTAACTATTTCTGGCACCTCAAACCTTCGGCATTTATGATGAAAACAACTCTTTGATAAGTTGGTTTATTAACATCGCACTGACGAATAGTCAAGTTCACAGTGTGGCCACTTCATCCCTTTGTGGTTTTTGTGGAATCAAAGTGTTGAATCTTGATCTAAATACAGAATACTTGAAGGATTTCTTTGCACTGTAGGAAGCAGCCTCCTTCCCATGAAGCCTCTTGCCTGTGTTAATGTGTCATAGAGATAATTTGGCCGTACACATGTCACGGTGAAGGCCAGCCGGTGATGATAATGCAGCTATTGCCTCTATTAGGGGGCACTACTCTTAGTTTTCTGATTAGCTCCAAAGGAAACCAGCCCAACTGCCTTTAATTACAACACCCATTACTCTCTTCTAAATGAGCCGGCTTGTTTACTTTAAGCTGCCTCCATTTCTCCTTTTTTTTGTCCTTCAAATGTGGCTGAGAGTTGATATCAAGGCATTCTTTTGCTGAAAAATTGTCATCTTAAAATTGTGTTTATATTATATTTATGTTATTTTTTAATGTAAGGAATGATGATTATGTGTATCCATCCATCATCTATACACCGCTTAATCCTCACTAGGGTTGCGGGGGGGCTGGAGTCTATCCCAGCTGACTTAGGGCGAAGGCAGGGGACACCTTGGACCGGTCACCAGTCTATCACAGGGCTACACTTAGAGACAGACAATCAAGCACACTCACATTCACACCTATGGACAATTTAGAATCACCAATTAACCTCAACATGTTTTTGGACTGTGAGAGGAAGCCGGAGAACCCGGAGAGAACCCACGCTGCACACAGAAAGATCCTGGGTGTCCTCACTGGGGTGCAAACCGGCGACCTTCTAGCTGCGAGGCAACAGTGCTATAACCACCTCTCCACCTTGCAGCCTTGATTAGGTGTATGATACGCAAAACTATATCAGCGTATGAACATTTGTATAATGCAAATATTAAAACAGTGGGGACATTTGAAATTTCTTTATTTCTATCTTCCCACCTTTGTTTCTCCGATGTGCCATTCATGACTGACAGACCACGGCCAGATGCTAAATCACTCGAACCAGCCTGTCTGTGTTTGTGTGTGCATTGTATGTATGGATATGGAACCCACTCAATCACGCCTCCACCTGCTGATGCGTGTTGTCAGGAGGACGGTGTGTGTAGTGAAGTTCTCTCACTTGTGTTTCCTGTTCAACTTTGTCAGCTGTCAGCCCATCTTAGCTTTTGATGTTCAGTGAACACTGACACGTCTTCGTCAGCCTGTTCACGTTAGAATAATTACACTTGACTGGTCGATTTGACATCAGTAATAATGATGTGTAAGCCACATCTAGAGCAGCACATTTGAGTTCTTTTCAGATGGGTTCTGCTGTGTAATTTTTCCAGGAAAATGTTTGCAGTACTTGCAAGATCCACAAAGTGGCAGTGTTCTATTAGATTTTAACTCCTATGGCGATTACATGCGCTGAGCCAAAGTTCTGTATGATGGTACACACCTACACACTTCACATACATGCTGAGAGGCATAAATCTGGGCCTAATTGACTCTCCCCAGTCGCCAGGTCCCTGCAGACCCAGTATTAACAGCCGAACCACTGGTCTGTTCCTGCCCAGCCCTGACCTGCTGCCAAAGACGTGCACACACTCACACTCTCACGGTGAGATTTTTACTTGGAGATGGCATATCTGCTTTTAGCACAGTTAGGGCCCCTGTTGTATGTAAAGACATCTCCCTCAGTATGGGATCAGTGAGGCTGAGTATATAGCATGGCTCTGCTGTGAAGAACAAAAGAACGAGCACTTATGGTGCCTCTGTTTGCTCTAAAATGACTTGCTGCCTTTTTTTTTGGCAATTCTTAATCTGCCCGACTCTCGCAAACACCGATGAAACTTTAAAAAAAAATTTCTGGTGCTAACATGTTGCAAGTGGAAGCTCATGTCAGCAAATCCTTATTGTTTGGGGTCATAACTTTCCTTTTTCTCATGCCACGGAACTCAGTAGCGTCATCTTCATATCTTCTTTCTTTCCTATCAGCATTTCTTGCCTTTGTATGTTTGTCAGCCCATCAGATTTTCCCACTCTCTCTTCTTTCCCTCCAGGCTGATGCACTATCTGTTGTGGTTTGGTTAATTGGTGAGAGGCCCGTCCTGGGAGGGGCTTTCTCAGGCCTCTATTCTTGATTGGCTACTTTCAGCCTCTGTTAATAAAGCCCCTCTGAACTAACGTTAGAAGACCGCCGTAAATATTATCAGCAAAAACACACAAACACACCAATTCCCTCCAACAAAACCCAGGCACCGCATACTCGCCACGCTCTGTTAATTTCTCAGAATGTAAGAGCGGAAAAGTTTATCGGGACAAGATCACGGGCCTCAAATCTGCTCCCACCCCAACTTCTCTCTATTTCTCAGAGAGGCTTTGATTTTCACATTTGTCGCAAGCAAATGTGTTTCCCTTTCCCCCCTGCTTTTATTCTCTCACTGTTGGGAAAGGGATGGTATCGTGATTGATGAATGTGCATGTGTGCGGGTCCATCTAGACTCTGTTCTCGTCTGCGTATGGCGGACATGACACCATTGCCTCGAGGCTAGAATTGAACCTTTTGACCGTATCCTTCATTCAGGATGCCGACACTTATTGCTATAGTGTTACGTTTGATCCTATTCATTCCATATGCTCGGTCCTCTGACACATGTGGAGCAGAGGAGACGCTCTTTGATGATGGGCTCTCTTGCATGACTTAATTTCCCCCACTGAGAGACGCAACAGTTTTGAGGACTGTTGTTGAACTGTTGTTGATAAGGAGTTAATGGATGCACTTTCTCCAAAAAAGACAGACAAGCACACAGTCAGAGTGACACATTAATACACATATGGTCAGTGGAAGATTAGGATTGTGGCAGCAGTAGGAATGGCAGGCTGTGGGTGGCATCCTCTGATGGCAGTAATCTCTCCTTTTCTTTAAGTGACATGCACAAAAAGATCCTTGTCTTCGCTCATTTGAACTCACTGGTAGAACTGGGATGAATGTCATGTATTATTGCAACCTGCTGCTTTGCCTTGTATGTCGTTCATGATTTTTAAGTCCTCTCTCTGCCTGAAAGCTTGATCAGCATTTTTGTCCCCCATTTTTGCCAGTTATAGAATTGGAATATATACATTTTTGAGTATGCATATCAAGTAAATGTGTATTTTTTAACCCTTACTGAACAGTGAAACGTTGCCCCTTCCAGCAGCTGTAACTGCAACCCACACTTTGCTCACCTACTATGATGTGGAGCGAGATTTATCTCATTAGCAATAAATAGGTGTGGATTTGTGGATCCATGTTCCGTTACCTGCAGCTTATTTTGTGTTTCCGTGTAGCACAGCGTACTGTAGCGGTGTACTTAGACTGACTTTATTAATCCCCAGAGGGAAATTCAGTTGTTACAGCAGCATGAATATTCAACAAAGGGGGTAAAGAAAAGCAAAAAGACAACACAGAATATTAGGGTAGGGTGTGAAATGAAGGTACAATAAATTAAGATAAAAATATAATATAGAAAGAAAACTCAACAAAATTTACAAGAATATTCAAGAGAGATGCAGAAATGTGCAAATGATAATGTGCTTAGATGTGCAAATGATGTACATAGGTGCAGTAAGTTTACAGATATAATGAATTAATGTAGACTGTCCGGTTTGTAAGGTGATAGAGTCTTTATGTGATCTGCCAGATGCAGATGCATTAAAAAAGTCTTATTGCTGTCGGGAGGAATGACTTCCTGTAACATTCCTCGGCGCAGCGGGGTTGTATCAGTCCGTTGCTGAAGCTGCTCCCCAGATTGTCCACAGCTTTATGGAGGGGGTGGGAGGTGTTGTCCATGATGACCAGCAGTTTGGTCAGCATCCTCTGCTCCACCACCTCCTCCAGCATGACCAACTGACAACAGACTTGGCTTTCTTGATGAGTTTATTCAGTCTGTTGGCATCCTTCGCCTTGATGCCACCACAGACTGATAAATATCAGGAGATTGAAGGACCTGAGCCTTCTGAGGAAGTAGAGCCGGGTCAGGCCCTTCTTGTAGACAGCCTCTGCGTTAGTGGACCCCTCCAGTGCGATTCTACACAGTGGCACTGTAATGAATCCTCTGTGAAGTTGGAAGTGGGTATCCTTAAAATGAGCTACTGTGGTTCAACAATGACAAATCAAAGGGTGGGGACTGAGAGAGCAGATTTTGGCACCACTGATGTACCCCTTGAGCGAGAACCACTCCCTCAATACCACAACCGAGTCGCCCCTGTGAAGGCTCCAGTGGAGCTGCTTGGTCACACAGCAGATCACACTGTGGTTGTACTGGGTGGTGTCCGGGTGTGAATGTGTTTGACTACGTGGGCGTAAACATGACATTTATAAAAGAACATTGCTCTCTATGATACTTCATGGTTAAATTAAAGATTAAATAAGTTTAGAATATGAGAATATACCACGGCTCTTACACACAAATGCCTGTCATTATATGTTAAAGCTGCTACAATAGCAGATACATTTAAAACCAAGCAGCTGCGGTGATGATTTAGTAGAGCCGAGGGCGATTTTAGACAGCAACTTTCTCTGCATCAGAATGTGTGTGTGCGCCTATTAGCTTGAATGTCTGTGTGCTTTTGAGTAGGCATAGCTGTAGGTCAGAGCTACCATTAATTATTGATAGAAAAAGCTGAGCGCATGTGCTGGCAGAAAGTGTTGCTAAGCAAGAGCTTTAGCATGCCAGAGACATCTGCGAGAGAGACAGAGAAAACAAGTGAGCAATAAGAAATCGAAAGACTAAAACTGAAAGAGTGGCAGAGACAGATTTATTTGACCTAAAACCGAGTCTGTCTGCTACCTGCTAGAGACAGAAAGCTACCAAAAGATCAGAGCAGAGAAAATAGCACCTGCTGGAAACGGAAGAAGTCCTTTGGAGAGCATCACACTACGGACCAGCTACAAGATCAGAGGAAAAGTTTTTTTTTCATTTGGACAAGATTTTTTTGTGTGGATGTGGACAATGCAGCATTCTTTAGTAAAATATAACTTAAGAACAATGTAGTGAAAAGGACGAGGAAAGACAAAAACCTGGGACGGGTGAGATTCAGTGGATTTTTTTTATAAAGTGGTTCTGAAGCGGTGGGTGTTAGAAAGTGCTAAAGATGATGAGCCGCCAGGCTTATTTTTACCGGGTCCCTCCCCAGGAGCTTCATCGTCGCAACCAGCTCCAGGCTGATCCGGCCAAGACCAGAGCTCTGCAGACTGTCATTGGTATGAAGGTAGGACTTAGAGTGGAGCTCCAATCCACAAGAACAGGCGATGTTTTAAGTAATGATGTGCTACATGAGGAGTGTGTGTTGCTGCAACAGAGTAGTTCTCAGGTTCATAAATGTGTTTGTCAATTTATCTCCAAACAGCAATTTAACCTTTGGTGCGTTAAAAAAATGAAACGTGATGTTGTGATCATGTTTCAGCAGCGTTTTTTTACTCTTCCAGTTGCAGCATGTTTTCAGGTTTAGCTTGATATCAGCTTCATAACATACATCACTTTAATTATTGATGAGCACTGTTGAAATGTGAGCAGTAGCAGATGATCTGACTTGGCTGAAATGCACACACAAACATATAAGCAGAAACAATCTGATGAACATTGTCTTATGGTTACCTACCATCTGCACGGCGGCCATGCCCAAGTAAAGTCCTTTATTGGCCCATGCAGAGTCAAGCACTTATTCAATTTGTTTCAAATGTCACATATGGAAGCTTTCACTCTCATCTCAGCCCTTTGAAGTCGTTAGTGCTGTGAAAAAGGCAGTTGACTCCACATGTGTCTGCGTGTACACCCACACACACATATTTGGTGTTCATTCGGCAAACGCTTGTTCCAAAAGTGGCTCCTTTACAGCAAAACCACAGTTATTTTTCACACATACTTTGTAATTTGTCTGCCTATTAACAAACTGCACATGTGCGAGCCCAGGATGCCCACAGTGCAGTAAACGCATGAAGTCAAATTAAGTCTGACTGAATTAATTAGAAATGGGACAACAAACGCAGTTGCCAGAGGCGTTGTGCATGTGGTGGAGGTGTTGAGTGATGAGATACAGCGACTTCTTCTGGTGATGCTGACCAGCAGATACAGCATCGTTGCTTTATGAAACTGTCCGCTGTTCTTTTTGTGAATCATGACGCGACTGTGGACTTTCTAACTGTGTCCAGTGTCTACAACTTTGTGTCCGTGCTGTTGGTCTTTCTAAGTGTTGCATTTTTCTTCTTTGCAATTACAGAACACCAACCCCCCTTTCTGTTTTGATCCCGATGTTATCTGGCAGGTACTGTACTGAGTGCTCACCTCTTCATCTTTCTGTTAACTCAACAATGGTCACAAATACACAGTATTTGTGTTTCCCTCTATCTCTATCATGAATTGCCTCTGCGTTGGAGAACAGTACCGTCATGTACAGAAGTTGATGTTTCAGTGGTTTTGAGGCCCAGCTTGTATTTTACTAAATGTTGTTATCGGTAATAGCTGAGGTATTTTCTTGGCTTTTACTTATTTGACTTCTACTCGGTGACATTTCTTCCTATCTGGTCTCATCATAGTCAGTTATTAACATCAATTTATGATACTGATATTGAGAATGGGGACAAAGTGTGAAACTATTTAAATGTCTGAATAACATCCTTATGCAGGAATCAGGTTTGGGCACATTTACTCTTCACTGTCACTGTAAATACTCATTCTCACTCCAACCTTCGGCAACTTTTTGGTTTGGTAATTCTTAATTCAAACAACGACTGAAATACGTTTCACTTATTCCATAAGGTGTAAGACCTTGAGACTAATTGTGGCTGTGGAACATGAAACGCAGCAACTTGTGAATGTCAGGTATTTCATTGGGTTTCCTATTAAGCACCTTGCAGATTAACTCTGTTTGGTCAGTCAAATGGCATGGATAGATGGACGGCAAGGCTGGAGAGAAGTAGGTCATAAAATAACACAGAGACCTCTTTTTGTTTGATAACTAATTGTGAATCAGTCGGATATTTTGCTCAAATAACGCATCAGTTTTGTACTAAATGGTATTTACCAAGACATGTGCCTGTTTGAGATAGAATTTGAGAGCAACTCTTGCTGTTCAGAGCAGAGGACTTGATCCGGACTCGTTATAGTTTATGTGCATTCTGTCAAATGTTATCAATCATAGGCGTACTCTTTTTATAAATCATTTCTTGGGCATGTTTGCCTTTATTGCCATGACAACCCTGAAACCACATAGCCCTCCCATGGGGACTCTCACAGATGCCTGAATGCCTTACCTTGACTTTTTTTTTTTTTTTCTGGGTATACATTCAAAGTCTGTGTCCTTGCATACACCCCTTCTACACAGCAAAATCGCAAGTGTTAATTTAACTCGCATAGAGTTAAAATCAACACTTTTTCTGAGTTTATATAGTTCTCACGGATTTTGAGTTAAATTTACACTTTGGAAAGTGTTAATATTTTAACTCTTTAATAGTGTTAAATATCTGACACTGTCAGTGTTGTTTAATGACACTGACACGGAAGTGTACTTTTAACACTAAATTGTGTTACTCCTTTTCACTGTGAGTGTTAATTTTTAACATTCATTGTGTTGTCTTATGACACATGAAAGTGTATTTTTAACACTAAATTGTGTTATTTCCTTTCACTATGAGTGTTAATTTTAAATAATCTTTGTGTTGTTTTATGACACATGAAAGTGTTTTTTTTTTTNGTGTGTGTGTGTTTAGGATGTATATGCACCACCGTGTGCTCGGCAGGGCTGATGTCAGAGGATGTAATAGAGGTCAGATGCTTACATGTTGCCTGTGGTTTGTGCTGATGGCATCATGCAATCTGCTTCCAGTTATTCAATTACCTTTCCCTTCTCGTCCAAGGTTTTGCATTTAACGTATGTCTGAACCCATGCAACAAAACAACCTCAGGAGCCGTCCATCACACACCCTTCCACTCCCTCCTAGATACTGCAAAGGAATACATCTTGGTTGTACACAAATCTCTGCCTAGATATTTCCTGTTTTCCCAAATATTCCATTCAGATATATTTCTATATATTAAACAGATTAAATCTAGATTAAGGAGCTCTTATGTAAATATGTTGTGTTGCAGTTTTTGCAGAGTATGGGATTTTTATATTTGCAAATGCTTTTCAAAGTGATTGTGGACTTACTGTTCTTCTAAGCTAAATCGTTGATCAAACGTTTGATCAAATGAGCCTCTCATTTAGAGCCAACTCATATGGGTGGAGATTTGTCTGCCAGGCTGTTGTAGGTAAAAAGATCTTTCAGTCATGTGCTAAGTAATACTTTCTTTAAAGATCAGCATTTAACCTTCTCTCTTCCCTCTGTATGAGCTTTTGTACAAGATATCTGTAGACAGCTAAATGTCTCACTAACAATACCTGGAATTGCTAAGTCCTTGCTTCAGCCCAGCGGATAATATCCGTAGCTAGCTCCCTGCTGACTCTCTGCCTGCCTACTGTTGCCGGTGTAGGACACCAAGATCTCTTCCCTGGAGAGGAACATCAGAGACTTAGAGGATGAGGTCCAGATGTTAAAGACCAGCGGCCTGCTGCATCCTGATGACAGGCAGGATGAGCTCAAGCAGGTGGAAGTCTACAAGAGCCATTCTAAATTCATGAAGACTAAGGTAGAATATCTCTGCATGCCACCTGAGACGACGCCACGCTGCACGATCTGAGTGATGCATGTTTGTCTCAAAAGCACGAGGGACGACTGCTTGAGAACCTGTTCATGTGCATGCTACTTGTCGTCATTGCATGTTTATGGAGAAGCAAGCTTAAGTGTATAAAAATGTTGTTGTTAAACTGCACGACACAATATGTTGTGTCTTTTAGCTGCTTTGTCTCTGAGCCTCCTGTGTTGCATGGTTGCCAAGAACTCCTACACTGAAGTGGGCTTCTAAGTAATATTAAGCAGTGAAATGTTTTTCTTTCCTTATTTCCCTCAGAATTATTGCATGCTTTATCTACCTTACCTGTGTGATGACCAAGCATTATACAGCTTTGCTATCTGTGACAGTTGACAACTCAGGAACTATCAGCTTACAGTGCACCGTGTCATTTTACAGTCCTGCCTTTGGCTGGCAGGACTATCTTTGGAAAGACCTGACCTGGCTGCAAACTAGTTCATTCATCGGCACACAAATGTCTATACCACTGCACACACTGACATGCTCACATTTTAATAGGAACATGAACAGAAACTACGTTAAAAACATAGTTTTAGGTTTCATGGCATTTCGAGCCAAGTGTCCGTGAGGCCAGCGAGTTTGCCTCCATGTGAAAATGTCCCCCTTCGGTTCGTTAATGGTGCTCTTTGTAGGGCCCATTTGTCATTGCATCGGGGAAGTTCCTGATGCAATCATAAAAGAGATGTTTTTATGAATGGGGCCCTGACAGATGAATGTGAGCTTACAACGACAGAGGAACGGAGGAAAGAGCTCTCTGTTCACCCATACTGACCTGGAGTGATATACATCACAGTGATGGCCCTGGCTCACTCTCCCATGTCTCATCTTTCTGCTTACAGTCGCACAGAAACACAGAAAATCACCATGCGCACGGATATGCACAGATTCATTCTATATCCTTGAAGTGTTTAGGGTCCTGGTCTTTCAGCGGTGGCGGTGGCTGGTGTTGAGGTGCGACTGTGATAAGAGAAACCAGAGAGGACAGCATCGATGTCCTCTCTGGTTTCACCCCTGGACTTTGATCTGCTCAAACACTAGAAAATGGCTTCTGAGAACATGAAAATGTATTTTAAGTATGATAAGTAGAGCAGGTACGTTTATTTATCCGCAAAATCAGTTCTTCACCAGTGAACCTCTCCGAAGCCTCGGCTGTGTGGTTGAGGAGTGTGAAGCAGTGTGGTTGAGCACGCGGCAAGTGATGGAGTTTAGCCGCTTGCTGTCTTTGTCTCTGTGTCTTTGTAGGAGCAGGCCTTGTCACCATGTGTGTCTTCCATCAGACCAGCTCCCACCTTCCTCCTCCCCACCCAACAGCCTTGGATCACAGAACAAGCAGAAGTACCCCTCTCATTAGTCTCTCTCCTCTCTCATTATTTCTTTCATTCGCTAATAAGCTTTGAAATCTTATTTTAATTACAATGCTCCATCTTTTCATCATTATTTTAGGTCTGCCGCCTGCTCATTTCCTGACTTCTTTTACTTCCCGTCTTGCTATTCTCTCGCCACTCTCACCACTCTCAGTCCTTTTTTGACTTCGCCTCACATTTTGTCCCCACTTTCTCCTGTGATCCTGTCACTCTTCCTGCTTTTTCTTTAGGGCTCTCTCCATGACTGACGGGTCATTGGCCAAACTCTGGTCAACTCAGAATTTCTCTTTTATGAAGTGAACCCTGCTCACACAATTTGAGAAATCTCTCTTCTAATCAGCTTTGTGCATTTTTGGCACCAGTTGACAGACAACAAGGTTCTGTACATAGCTGGCCCCACCACAGAAACCTCCCTTTGTTATTACTTTTGATTTCCTTTGTGGTTTTTCTGTGATTTTCTATATAGCTTTCCCTAAAACAATCTGTCTCAGTCGCCCTCTAATTTTAACGTTTTGGCTTGGTGTGTCCACACAGTAGGTCTGGGCCTCCTGAGTGAGAACTGATATCATAAGGCTGCATAATGATTCAATATTGCAATATCATCTCTCAAAAGAAATCTCGAACAACACAACTAACATATTCAGATTGCAATAAATAGGGATGGACAATGGTATCAGCATCATCAATGTCATCGGCCGTTGAAGGCTCTAAAATGAAAAATCTGCTTCGACCATCAGCCTAAAAGTTTACAGTTTGGTTTGAAAGTGTCACATAGGAATGAATATGACACATTACACATGTACACAATATTAGACATATGTAATTTTTTAAAATTCAGCCAAATTATATATAATAGGTATCACACGATTGATTTTGTCCGTAATATTCACATTTAAAAAACAGCATTACGCCTGTCATATGGCTTGAATTTTTTCTTACTTATTAAACTATTTATTAGTTGCTAGTGTATCAATTCAGTCAACAATGATCTGAAGGTTTTCATAACTAATTTGTTGATGTGTGTGTGTGTGTGATTGGCAGATCGAGCAGCTAAAGCAGGAGCTGAACAGGAAGGAGTCAGAGATGCAGGCCCTGCAGACCAAACTAGAAACACTGACCAATCAGAACTCCGACTGCAAGCAACACATCGAGGTGCTAAAAGAGTCGCTCAGTGCCAAGGAGCAACGCGCCAATACGCTGCAGACAGAGGTAAGCGTGCACATACTCACACACACACGCGCACAAAATCAACAGATGCACAAATGCACACAAATACACCCACGCATATGCAAACACTCATCAAGATGCACACTGAGCTACTCCAGCTTCCTGGAAAAACACTTTTCAAACACATACACAGCCTCAGATGGATGAAGCTGTTTGAAAGCTGTCTGTAGGTTGCAACAATAATAACAGTAGTCTGTCATACATCATGGCCGTTTTTACTTTATGTGACATTACTGGGAACAACAAGGGATTACATTTCATTGTGTTTATTTCCTGTCACTCCTCCTTTTTTAGGTTTTAGTACTTTGCTTGGTTGCTTTTCTGTTCTGCTAATTTGTTGAAATTAAGATTTTGCAGTCCAGATCTGAAAGAAAATTACTTTTTTTGACCAAATGTCAAAAATAGAGTGATAATGTTCCTGGAAAAATAACCTTCATGACCAGTTTGCATGAATGCATATTTTTGAGATGAAGGAGTTCATCACACAGACATGCTGGGAACCTGAGGAGGTCTTTGTATTTGTTTACACAAACTGTGCAAGTGCACAGAGTCGTGTCTTTTTCTTTCTTAGTTTCTTTCTCTTTCAGTTTCTCTAATGGACGGTTAGGTGGGTGGAAAAATGTCTCTGCTTGTGGCTCCTTCAGTCCACCAGTGGGCTCGCACGTGTGGGCGGGTCAGTCAGAAGGCTGAAGAAAGCTGGCAGCTTTTTCTTCTTCATGTTTGAAGTTGCTAAACTCTGCAGCTCTAATGATTTTTATCACTGCTGTTAGGGATGGAGGTGGGTTGTATGTGGCGAGATGGAGGTATGTGTGTGGGGTAGCATTTTTCTCCATCACTCTCTAGAGTTGGAACTGATACTTTAGATCTTTGTTGAGAGCGGCCTGCTAACTATGTCCACTCATCATTACAGGAAGCAATTTGGGCCAAAATTAGGCCTAATTGTCCATACATGTGCAAGGAATTTTGGCCCTTGCAGTTAGCTGAATACATCATACCTAAAGGAATTAGTTTTCAGTGGGTGTTTTTTTTTGTGAGTGTACATGTTTTTGTGTGTGTGTGTGTCCCACTGAAATGGCATGTAAAAAAATGTTGCATTCACATGTAGGAATTTGTCAGAGGTATGATTTTATGGCAGATGAGGAGACATGCCCCAAATGTTATTTCAAGTTCTTTAAACAAATGAATTACCTTGTGCCAACAGCAGCCTTAACTAATGGTGGGAACCACAGTAGATCAGTATCAGGGATATTTTTATTACTCGTTTAGTCATCTGACTTTATGAAACCAAATCCATTTATAGTGAGCCCAACATTTTTTAACTTCTTGTGTTTGCAGCTTCGGTTAACTGTTCACTGTGATGCAGAGTAAATAAGAGACATCAGTCTGAAAGTGATACAATTAATATTGGTTGTTAAGTGCAAACTGTTGAAGTTCACTTGACAGCACATTGCATGTGAAAACAGTACATTATGTGCAAATTTGTGTGTGTGGGTGCAGAGCAGCAAAATGTTGCCAACCTTACCCATGTTGCAGTATGTTTTATCTCACACACACACATGCATGCACACCTTTGCAGACAGTGACACTGACTTCAGTCACCTCGATCCACTTTCCCTGCTGGTAAAGATGGTGTCTTAGTGCTGTTTGACCTGCCAGCTACACGTTAAGCATATACCATATAACATATTAAGTGATTGATACCAAGTGTCTCTACCAAAGCTAAAGTAAAAAGTGTTTCCTGAAGTGGTTGTGTGTGTGTGTGTGTCTGCTGTGTGTACGTGTGCATTACTCTGTGGGTGCATGTCAAGGCAGCGGTCTAATCGACTATAATGCTTCTGATGTCGGGCACATCACTGTGTTCTCACTTCTCATAGTTCTGCTGCTGTGGGCACTGTAATCAGATCTTGATCACAACACACACACACATACACACACACACACACACACACAAACACAAACACACAACATGCGCTGTCAGGGCTGATTACTCAACTCTCATCTCCGGTCTCGAGTAATTTTTCCAGCTATTGAAGTGGCATTTCCCCCCCCCCTTGCCCCATGACTTGGGAATGGCTAAGGTTTCCTGGACTAAGTGGGCAAAAGTCAGAAGATGAGCAGAGAAATTGAATGCGTTTTAGTGGCCCTGCATTCCTCTGCTGCCTGTCAGTCATTCAGCTAGAGAGAACAGCCGTCCTCACAGCACCCTCCCTCTCACCTCATTTTTTCCATACGCTTATAATATTTCTTTGTCTCTCTTCTGCAGTTTGTTTCAGCTTCCCTCACATATCTTTAAAAATTTCTCAAGAGCCCCACAGTGCCTTTTGTCTCGCTCCCGACTAACGGCACGTCACATCCCTGCTTGTGCGTGCCAGGTGGGACTCATCATAAATGACAGTGATGGCACAGTAGTGCATTCCCCCATAGACACATGGGTGTTTCAGACTTGAGGAGCAGCTTCATCTTCACAGACATTTGTCTCTAAAGCAGTTCACATCAGGATGGGACGAAGAAGCGACTGGCGGCCGAACAGAGCAGTCACTGTGAGCAAGGGAATGAGAAAATGGAAGTGTATTTATTTGTCAGTCAAAGTTAAGGACAGCTTCTTAATGGGTGTGATTGAATCTGTCTCCAGATAACTGGAAAATGTGGAAAATAATGAGCGTGCCCTTGTGTGTGAGCATTGTGAGCCTGCCAATGTCGGTGGAAACTTAACCCTTTAATACAGTAGATGTGTGTGTCTTTCCTGGCCTGATCAGGACAATGCAGGGCTGTAATGATACTCTAGCAGATCAGGTAACCTATCAGAGACCTTCCTGCATTTTTAACCAGCCAGCAGCAAAGGAACAGGCCAAAACCTCCAGGGACAAAGGGTTTCACTTGGACTATGCTTGGTTTTGTGTGAGAAAATCGTTTCAAATATGAATATGAATGCAAGATGCGTGGGCCTGTTTGTTTGATTCAGTTAGCTGCACATTTAGTGAGACATGGGCAGTCAGTTAGTTTTAGGACAAATCAGCTTTTTAGTTAAAATATTCTCTGACCTGCTCTGAGATTCCAGGACAAAGCAACATTCCTTTAGATAAAGGTTTTAAGGATTTGAGAGTCGGGTTGTCCTTTACAGAATACCAATAGCAAGCACAATACAATCCTGACAAAACAATGACACCTAACATGAAAAAGCGCAGCATAAATTCCTCATGAAGGCAGCAAATTCAAAAATATCTTTTGGCTTTAAAGTACCTTAAAGTCTAATAGATTACGGTACGTATCTCTTAGATGATTGTTATGGCAAAAATTTCATTATTTCCAGCCTTTTAAAAGCTTTTAAGGGTAAACTGTGCATTATCTATGCTGTTTCCTATTATTTGATAAATAAAAATATCTATTATGCTGAAGTAAGGGCTGCAAGGTGACGCGGTGATTAGCACCATTGCCTCGCAGCAAGAAGGTCGCCAGTTTGCATCCTGGTGAGGACGTGGAGTTTGCATGTTCTCCCTGTGCAGTGTAGGTTCTCTCCAGGTTCTTCCTCCCACACAGTCCAAAAACATGTTGAGGTTAATTGGTGATTCTAAATTGTCTGTAGGTGTGAATGTGAGTGTGTGCTGAGTGTGTCTGTCTTTAAGTGTGGCCCTGTGATAGACTGGCGACCTGTCCAGGGTGTCCCCTGCCTTCACCCTAAGTCAGCTGGGATAGACTCCGGCCCCCCCACGACCCTAGTGAGGATTAAGCGGTGTATAGATAATGGATGGATGGTTGCACTAGTGATTTTACTTTGGTAATAATTACCATCTCTACCGTCAGGCAAGACCCTGCATGGTTACTATTCTTCAACAAGTTTCTTTGGACAAGCCTTCAGGACTTTCAGTATGTTTGCACATTAGCGATGCCTTCTTTTTAATTATCTCTTTGGCAGCACACCAGCTGACACGTGTATACATGGAGTAACATGAGAGATTGTCGAGCCGAGCTTCTTGAGAAAGTGCAGCACTGTTTCCTCCTCCAACTTGTGATTGCTAGAGAAAACTCATTTTCTATAATAAATCTTTTGTAAGTGTGGACTGGACAGGTGCCCGATTCAAGTCTGAATCAGGCGTATAAATAACACGGCAATATAACGTTTGATATTTTGTTACTCACCCAATGCCAAAAGACGTGTTAGAAGCCGCACGCCTTCAATGCATCTTTTACAATGTGGCAGCGTATCTGTATTTACAGAGAATTTCATTTCAACTTCCTAACATGTGACCTCAAACATCTCGTGTTCTCTTTCATCACCAGCTTTTGCTGTGTGTCTGCCAGAAGACCTCTACAGAGTTTTGATTTTGAGGTTGAAATGTAATGACTCGGAGAAGATGTAGATGACTCAAAAATGACTTGCTAACATCAACCGCGGTGACAGTGATTAATAGGGAAAACAAGAGGAAAATACGAAAGAATCTGGAGTGCGAGGGGGAAAGAGTTGAGAATAGATGGAGCGACAAGAGGAAGTGAAAAGTGAGAGAATAGAGCCGCTTGATGGATGTCGAAGGCTGCGGGCTTTTGTCAGTGAGTGATGTGATGGTACAGTGTGCTGTAGTCCCTGCTGGACTATTTTTGTTGATCTTTCCTTGTTCTCTTTGCTGATTGATGGTTCGTATAGGTAGTGAGGCAGAGAGAAGATGTGGTCTCAACCTGGTTGCACTCCACCCTGTGCTGTCCCCCTGCTGTGCTCTCTCTTTCTCTGTCTCTCTTTCTGCCTCATTCACTTTTGCTCCCGCTGTCCATATTTTCTCTTCCCTCTTTCTATACTATCTACCTCCATCTGTCTTCTGCCCCATTTTCTTTCCTACCCCTCCCTTTCTGTCCATTCTCATCCCTTATCTGTTGATACCACTTGAGTAAAGAGTGTGAAACAAATTGAGAACCTCCCAAGCTCACCAAAGACAACAGTGGGGATAACAGTGCTGTCCATGTTCCATTGCAGACCACTTTTTCAGCATGAC